TAAGCGTGCGCGCGCATGCACCTGGGTGGCTGTGCGTGCGCGCGATTGCACCTGTGTGGGTGTATGCATGCGCGCGTGTGCACCTGTGGGTGTATGCGCGCACTTGCATGCTCTTAGGGTGCTCTTGCGAGCTCTTATTGAAAACCTTTATGGGGAAGAGAGTGCTCTTGGGTGATCTTGGGTGCCAAGACGTGTAAATCATTACGAATCCATCGGTTGCATAAGCAGAATCAATAAAATGTTGCAGTGGCTAAGGTTTTGAAAAGGTACCCCCTCTATAACAAAGGTTTTAGCAAGCCAGTTGCCTCCAGACCTTATAAAACAAAAGGTTTGGAGAGGTCCTGGGATCTGAGGATACCACCTCAGGTGATGGTAAAAAGTATGCATTCTGGCCTCACTGTAGAACACGAACGTGTACTGCAATACAGCTACTCTACTGATCTTATGACTATAGTATAGACTTTTTGCTGACTTGTGATTATACATCTCAATAACAGATGGTCAGAGATCACACTAACAAAGTTAGCCAGTGCCCCTCTAGACACTCGCTCCTTCGCCGTGTGGCCCCAGAGTGGCCGGCGGATTCGGAATGGTCAATTATATGATCAATGATGTTCAGAATCCGAATGAACTCAAAAGTATTTGGGCATAACAATCAAGGCGCTGTCGGTAGATCACACCTATCGATCGCCAGTTCTTCAAGGCCAACAAGGCTCATGATCTTAGCATCCCTGCGAAATTACGTATTTCAGCATAACAGTCAAAGGACTCACGTTTTGGGTTTGATTTCGGAGCACCATACCTTTCCAACATGGAACCTGTCCTGCCTGGGAACGGGGAACGCGTTCTATTGGAGCGTTTTTGTCGTCATTTCAATGTTTTGGAATGCTGAGTGACCACTTTTTTGAAGCCCCTTCGTCTTGCGTTTTGGAGAGGTGCGATGAGGGCGCATGTGTTTTTTATGTGTAATGTATTTTCAATTATTTTCACGTAGTGTCAAGTTGCTCTTAGTATTTTCAATGTTATTTTTACGCCCTTGTATTTTGTTAGCAGTTTCACGTATTTCCCTATACTTCCACCCTTTCGGAATCCTTTGAGTCCCATTTGCTTCACTTTGGCGTCCATTTTCACCGTTTATGCCTTTCTTTGACATCGACACGTCTGATATCGGTCTGCTACCAGAGCTGCGATTGAGCAATTATTTGCATCTTGTTTTTTTTGTAAGAGATGATCTGTGTTTTTCCGTATTCAACCCGAGTTGTAGACGCCTGGGATCAATCTGCTACCAGAGATGCAACACAAAAAACCACATCGCAAATTTTTGAGAGGCAGTGTTGGTCTTTTCTACTGAATCCGAGTTGTAGGCGAGCTACGGGGCTGGGAAGCGCGCAGTTCGAATGGAAAATATCAAGTCGTGTACTTTCTTGCGCGGGTGGTTGTTTCAAATGAGTTCGAGCTGTGCGCAAGATAAGGAGCTGTCAAGCACACTTCCATGAAACCGCACGCCCTCGCGCGCGCTGACTGCGAGACTGCTGCGCTCGCATGCCATGCGTATAGATGGCAAGGAAGCTCTACGAGTTCCCGGCGGTAACCAAGATTGCCTGCCCGTAAGCGTGCACGTCATGACTATTCGGATACGTGGCCTACTCCCTCAATGCCGAGTGCGCTTTGCATGCTCCGCGCGTTGGGTAAATATACTGAGCATAGAGATGCTTTTATTTGTTCTCTTGGATTTCGGGGCCGTGCCTACACCGGTCGATGCCAGCGTCGTGTCGTGCAGGGCCTCTATCATTGGTTCACCTTATTTGAGATCACACAGGGGCCTCATTGGGATCAGTGTATGTGTTGGACGGAGCAGGGTTGGATATCTTTTCTAGTCGATACGCTTAGACAGCTGGAGATGACAAAGGTTTTAGAGTTCTGCTTGATCAAGGACGCCTCTTCGGGTATGCATCGGAAGGAGGAGGAGGGTACTGCCGCACAACAACAGAATGAACTCGACCGTCAGGCTAAAATATTGGCGGTTTTGTTCTCGGATGAAACGCGGTGGAGGATTAATGCGGACTGGCTGTGTATGGAACTGCGGGGAGACAGTCAATGTGTGGCTAGATGGTTGACGGGCCGATATAGATGCTTGAACGAAGTGCGCGCGCGCACCATCGCCAGTGTGCAGAACCAGTCGTACTCACTGTGTACGCGGCATACAATACTCCGTCCAGAAGCAGGACGGGACATTTGGAAGTGGGTATGTCGGGAGGGGAATGAGGAGGCGGACCATGAGACACACCTGGCTAGAGAACGACAAACAACAACTGATGTTCGGTGGGATCACAACATACTTCAAATTTACGTGAGGGTCAATATAGTATGCATGCGATGAAAGGGGCTCCTTGGATGGCGGCAGATGCGAGTTTGGCACGTCGTGTGGTTGGGTGATCGGCCTTTTAATTTCCTCGAACCTTCCCCTTTCCATCTCTTCTCCTGGGCTTTCCTCCAACAGATGGCAGCCTGGTGTTGCCAGGCGGGCCTTTATGCTCCCTTCCCACTGCACCGTCGCTCAGGCCGAACTTGCTGCCTCACAGAGCCTATTGGCAGGTGTGTCTGATTTGTGCACGCTTCTGTGTAGATAGTACCCGCGAAAATCATCTGACAACTTCGCTGCTTTTTATATGCCAGCTTCGCTGCTAACTGTACAGCTTTGCTGTTCGGTATATGTCCTGTGTCCTGGCCTGCTCCTGTGGGAGCTCGATTCGGCCTACGCAGAACCGCAGAACCAAGGTCGATGGAGCTATGAGGCCAAGGGGATCCCTATCGAGCTCCATAGGGACTCCCTGGTGGTGGTAAATTGGCTTGTGGGAAGATATGCGTGTACGATGGCAGTGTATTGTCACACGATCGCGCGTATACAAAACATCATGTACCGATTGCATTGTACCGGCGATGTTGAACTTAGACCGCCGTCTTGGGGCCTAGAACCATGGAGGTGGTTTTACCGTGAAGGTAAGGGGCGTGCTGATGCTGAAACTTGGAAGGCCCGCGCGGGCCAGTCTCACTACACCTTCGACCCGCGGATTCACACTATTAGACGGGAACAGATAAAAAGGGATTTGTGGCTACTTTGATGGTGGTCGCTCCTCCCACGGTGTTGGCATAGGTTGGGTCCTTGACAAATTTGTGCTCCCTCGCCCTGCTCTTGATCTCTGTCATGGCGTTTGGCTATGCAACATAGCTTCTGAGGCTGCCGGCATCCCGCCCTCCTGCGCTGTCTGTCAAGCTGAGCTTTTGGCCAGCAAGCGCCTCGCTGAAGGTGTCGAGCACCTGCTCCTCTGCTGCGGACCTGAATCCTGAGCGGGGGCTCCTCTGTTCCCTGTGGGCTCCGAGCAAAGCCAAAACCAAGGTTGAGGGGGCTCCCCCCCGCAGTTTTGGCCTCGCAGCTGGGCCCCCTCGTACTCGAGCCGCAGCGTGCGGTCAGTGCTGCTGGCCCCGCCCGCGCTCCCATCACTGTGCGCTTCGATCGGGGCTCGGTGCGTGGCGCAGCCAGTGTCGCCACTGGCATCTGTGCATCGTGCTTCAGCCTACTGTACACACCCTTTGGTGGTGCACCGATTGTACCTCTCACGTCTATTTGTAGTCTTCTTGTCTTCTCCGTGCCTTTCAGACGATAGGTTGGACGACGGTGGGTTCGATTTCTCAGGCGTCTTCACAGTTGTGCTAATTGTGTGTGTTGATCGTGCTGTCTATTATTTCTTCCTCGTTGTCTCTTTTCCCATTGGACAGTTTTCTGCTTGTGCTGTGTGTGTCCCTTCCTTGTGTGGGGCCCCATTTGCCGAATCAGGTCTGTGTTGTTCTTGCAAGATCTCGTGCCTGTGCCTGCGCATGTGCCTGATGGCATTCCGCTGCTGCCCCGCATTCCTGTTTCTTCCTCCCGGGCGAGCCGACGAAAGGTGCGAAGGATCAGCCTTGCGACTTATCGTCAGGTCGAGACAGATTTTGCGATGCTGAGATGGCCGTTCCGTCGTGTTACCTTTGCAGAGGATGCCCAAGTTGACGCCTCGCCCTCCCCGTTGCCTGCCACTGCTCCGAAGGTTGCTGCGAATGGGCCACGCAATCCAGATGCTGGGGCGCGTTCTCATTCATATTCCAATTCTGGGATTCAAGGTGTCGGTGGGACTGAAGAGTTACCTGAGAAGTTTGGGAAGAAGGTCCGCTTTGATTTCGAAGACACTGGACGTCAAACATAGGTTCCCCAGGGAATGGTTCCTGACTCAAGTACTGTTGCTCATCCGGACCCTTCGTTGTCGACGTCATCCGAGTCGGGCCCCCCCCCCCCCCCATCTGTGAGGTTGCGATCCCTTCGAGCCCCTTGGGGATGAAGCGGTTCTCGTTCAAGCGATCGGTCCAGACTGATAGTTCAGCTTTCGGCAGTTCTTCTCATAGTTCAGCTTTCGGCAGTTCTTCTCATAGATCGTTCCATAGTTCGAATCTCGGCAGTTCTTTTCATAGTGCGGCAGTTCTTTTCAAAGATCCCACTTATCATAGTTCAGCTTTCGGTAGTTCTCCATCAGGGCGTGCTGCAGGCTCAACTGACACCAGAACTGCGGCAGGATCAGTGCCAAAGGCGTCGAAAGATGGGGCCGCGCTTCTCCCTCGGCCCCATGCTACAGAGGAAATGTTTCGCGCATGCGTGGGATCTTTCCCATTGAAATCCGAGGAACCCGAGGAAGACAGCTCGAGTGATGGTGAGTTTGCTCAAGCACAGGGTTCTTGGGTTGCTGATTTCGTGTTGGCTTTCCTCCGTTGCTTTGAACTTCGAAAGGATATTTGTGTGGGCTCGTGGGCCCAACCTCGCCTGTGTGGAAGTTCTCTTTCGATGTGCCAAAACGTCTGGTCCATGACTGAGTGCGAGTGGATTTCCGATGACATTCGGCGAGGGGCTGTGGAACTCTTGGAGCAGTTGTTCGATGTGGTGCAGCCGATGTGGGATTGCGTTCCAAGAGGGTATTTGTGAGCTGCTCTTTCATTCATCCATTCTTATGTCTGGTCCGCCTGTCGGCTGGCATCGTGCTGGTATTGGGGCAGTGGATCTCTCACCTTACAAATCTACTCATTGTCAGCGTGATGCATGCCCCACTTGAGTTGGTAACCTCCTGTATTGAGACGTTAGCCTGCTAGCATCCCGTGTAGGATGTCCGCTGTCTCGCTTTTGGCGAGTCGTGGATCGCTCTGTGAACCCGTGACCTGAGCGAGTCTCGCCTCCGAGGCTCGTGGGCTCTGAGCATGGCAAAAACCAACGTTGACGGTTCACCGCCGGCTTCCAGTGTGGGATCCACTTGTGGCGTCCCAAACCTGGGTAACAGCGCAGTCCAGCGTAGGAAATCTTCGTGGGAGACCATGCTTGGGGAGTTCGAGGAAGCTTCGCAGGAGCTGCGGAGGAGCTGCGGAAGAGCTTCTGGCACGCGTATCGGGAACGGGTCGGACAACGCTTCTCGGGACACGCTGCGAGGACAAGGAATTCGCTCCGGGGATGCCTGCCCGGAGCCTTGGAGAGGAGCTGGCGTAGCCCTGCCTGCTGGCTTCTTATCCAAATGCCCTCTCAGCTCTTCAATAAGCTATCTGGAACATCTTTACGCCCTGGTCAGGTCGGAGCAGTTTCGCGACCTGCCAGGGTCTGGGTCCGAGAGTTCGACCTTGGAAGCTGTCCAACGCGCGCGGGCCCTGTGTCGTGGGAGACACTTGTCAGGATTCTGGACAGAATGCCTGGGGAGCTCGCGAGCTTCGGAAACCTGCGAGGGAGACGCCTGCCAGGGCGCAGGAAAGCATGCCTGGGGGGCTTGCAAGACTCGGAAAGGCAGCGCTGCAAAGTTGCCGCGGACAGGCTTGAGGCGCGCGTATTGGGGATAAGTAGGTAAACGCTTCCCGGAACACGCTGCGAGTTCGAGCAAGTCGCTGCGAGGATGCCTGACCGGGGGCCGTGGGGAGGGGCCGGGGATGCCCTGCCTGCCGTCTTCTTGTCGGGTCCGAAACCTGGATGGAAGGGCGCCGTGAGGGCCCGCAATGGCTTGTGGAAGAACTCTGGAAGGACCTGGAGAGAGGTTCCGAAGGACCTTCTGGGGAGTTTCCTTGCGCGCGTTCTGGGGAACTCTTAGGAGAGGCCTGCCGGGACATGCGAGGTCACGGGAGGCGCGCCGGGGATTCTGGACAGAAGCCGGAACGTGCTCCGGGGCTACCCTGCGGCTCCGGCTTCTTAATGTGCAACCCTCTTTAGCAAGAGGTCTCCCATGGCGCGTTTCTGGTTTGGACAGGGTCCTCTTGCTGCGTCCCAAACCCGGTAATCGCAGCAATCTGATGCGAGTGAAATGCATGGGGCAAGCGCTTGCGAGGACGCTGGAAAGCATGCCTGGAGAGCTTGCAAGCTTGAGAAAGGAGCTTCGCTGGATCCCCCGAAGAGCTTCGAAGGACTTCCGGAAAGGGTTCAGGCGCGCTTATTGGGAAGGAGTCGGATAACGCTTCTGGGGGCACGCTGGATCTCCAGGCAAGTCGCTGCGAGGTGTCTGCACCGGCGCTGGAAAGAGCTGCTGGGCCATCCTGCGCTGCCGGCTAAACCTTTTGAGCTCCCAGAGAGCTATCCAGGAAAATGCCCGCATAGTAGGGCGCCAGACAGGCGTGCGAAGGATTGTCGAGAAACCCTCGAAGGAGCTGGAGAGCTTTTGAAGGACCTTCTGGAGAGCTTCCGGGCTCGGGTATTGGAAAAAGCAGCGAGAAAAGTTCGTCGGGGCCCGAGGCTTCTTGCCTGAAGCCAGAACGAGCTCGGGGGCTACTCTGCGGCTCTGGTTTCTGCGTGTGAATAGTTTTCATCTCTGCGAGCTATCCAGGGAAAACGCAGATAACAGGGCGCCAGAAGGGCGTGCGAAGGCCTATGGAAGGAGTCTGGACGCTTTGGGGAAGAGCTCCCGAAGGACCTGCGGAAAGGCTTCAGGCACGCGTATTGGAAACGAGTAGGAAAACGCTTCTCGGGACACGCTGGAGGGTCAAGCAGGGCGCTCCAGGGATGCTGGACCGGCGTCGGAAAAAAGCTTCCTGACTACCCAGTGCTGCCGGCTTCTAACCTGGAAGAACCTTTTTAGCTTTCAGACAGCTACCTGGGT